TGTCTCCTGAAATCTGGCCACTTTTTAGAAGACTTTTTCCCCGGGGGCAGGAGTGGCTCGAAACTTGTCCCTGTGGTAGTTTGACCTCCTGAACATGAATATCACATCCGCTTGGCACAAACCTCCTGGCGCCCGCGCCACAGGCGCCGGCGCCAAAATACCCTAAATCACCAAATTCGCTGAAAACTTGTTCCCAGGGGTAGTCTGACCTCCTGAACACGAATATCACATCCGCTTGGCCCAAAACCGTCTGGCTCCCGCGCCACGGGGCGGGGCGCCAAAATACCCCAAATCATTGGCGCCTGTGGCGCGGGCGCCAGGAAGTTTCGGGCTAAGCGGATGTGATATTCGTATTCAGGAGGTCAAACTACCCCAGGAGACAACATTTGAGCCAAGTCTGTCCATGGAGAAAAAATTCGGTCAAAAGCTGGCTCGATTCCGGATGATTGTGGCAGTAAAGGATAAATAGCGCCCCATAGGCTAAATAAGGGCTCCAAAAATTATATTGATTGGTTCTGACTAGTTCTTCATAACTGCTTTTGTTTACTCCAGTAGTCACGCGCTAACTGCGAATGTTTTTCAAAAGACAGGCTTCAAAAGCCTTACATAGTCAAAACATATATTGATTAGCTCCGCTCGATCAATACGCATCTTTTCAACGTGCCTTTGTGGGATTGGGCGCTATCAGCTGAGCAATTAAACCTTGGTAAAAATCATGCTTGTCTGCTGTGCCTGAGATATTTTGAGCAGTTGATTGTAAAAAGAAGGCGTTCGTGGGGAAAACATCCACTGAAATCGAAAAATCCTGCTCCACTGATCGATATGTATTTTTTAAAATGTGCCCAGGAAGAGCTCCGACTTCAGTCACCTCCAAGGGAAAGACGATCCCAAGGCGAACCCGATGAGAAATGAGCGATCCTATCAGTTCCAACGCTTCCCCACCCGACGCTCATAAACAAGAGATCTTCCCGCTTGTCAGCGAAGGACTAAATGAGTCATTTTAAAGATAACTAATGACCGCTCTCTGCAAACTCCGATCAGGGTCAGTTTAACTGAAAAATGATTCACCACCTTCGCCACGGTCGTACATCTGGGAAAAGGCTTTCGATGACACTACCCAATTACTGGGCTGGCTCGTCGTTCTCCGTTTTCGGTCTATCAGAGAGTCGCGTTTCACCCCCAGTCCGAGAGCATAGTCGGTCACGCAATAAATACTGACCCCGATTCACAAGTGGATTCTTCTTTTCGTAGAAGATCGCAATGACAATGAAAAACCGCATACTGATTGCGTTGGAATGTGGTGATTCCAGTGGGATAGATTCGACAGATTTGGTCATTCACCTTGAAACGGAGACGGAAATGTGAGAACTGACTCGAATAGCCGTAAGGGTTAAGTACACGTGCGTTTCCCTACACCCGGAAACGAGTGCATGGCTTATCCCAGCGAATTCGTGGCTATCATCCCTGCACGATTTTCTTGAGGGTTATGCACGATTTGTGGGAGTTAGTCGCGCACAATTTGGGCAAGGTGTGCCGTCTTACTGGAGTGTGCGGCTCATGATTGATGTGGGCATGATTTTGTCACAGGGCATCGTGCACGGTTTTGTGGGAGT